TCCCGTCCTTTGTAAAACTGGAGAAGCCGCTGCTCTTCCCACACAACGCAGCTTCTCGGCTTTGGCTTCCCTCTGGGCTAACGCGAGTTCCTTGGAGATGTGTGCACTGGACTTGCATTGGGGGGGTTTGCACAACCCCCAGGGATGGGGAAACCCTCACCTCCTCCAAAATGGGTAAAAAAAGACGCAAGTGCCTTGTGAGACAGCAAACCTGTTAACGTGCCAGACCAGTAACCTGTCGAGGGAGGGCGGGGAGTCTGCTGGCTGTGTTTTTGGGGAGGGGGATCTGCACAGGGAGGCGAGTGAGCAGTGCTGTCAATAAAGTTGCTGTTTGCTGGGAGCAGCCCCAGGCCGTGGCTGTGCCCCTCTCTGCCGCTGCCTGCCCTGAAACGTGCTCCTGAGCCCTGGCTCAGCACTCCCCCCGCTGAGACCCCCCCCAGCTCTGTCCTTGCCTGGGGGCCTCCAGCAGGACCGCCTGTGCCCCTTGCAGGCTTCACCCCATTTCCCACAACATCAGGGGACCCCCGGCTGTGCCACAGAGCCCCTTGGCCCCTCCGTCCTGCTGGTTCCGAGCCCAGGGACTGCTCCTCTCCGGAGCCCCTGGCCCCGGCCCCACCGTGCAGCTCTGGTCGAAGGGAGCTGCGCAGGGAGGGAGCGACGCCTGCGCCCCTCCGGGACTCTGGGCACTTCGTGCATTTTGCTAAATTAAACCACAGCCCTGCCGCCTCCTCGCTGGTACCCGCTGGCCCGTTCTCCCCCAGGGGGGTGCAGCCGCCCCTCCACAGCAGGGCCGGCAGCAGGCAGGGCTGCACGGAGACTGTAGTGCTGGGAGCTGGCACAGATGTGCTCGGCTCCAGGTAAAAACGGAGACCTCTCCTCCAGAGGCTTTATTGAGGAGCAACTTGGCCCTGCAGGTCCTCTGCCCAAGGATAAAGGCAGGAGGCTCCCTGAATGCTCCAGAGCTAGGCGGTGTTTGCAATACAGAGAGCAGAGCCTCGGGGTGTCACCCAGGGAAGTGGGACCGGCCTGGCCGGGATCCTGCTCTGAGCCCTCGTGCCCGTCGGGCAGCGCATGGCTGCCCCACGGCAGTGGGGGACGCCGGGCAGAGCTGAGCCTCACAGCTCATTGTGCAGCGGCCGGCACTGGGGGCTCAGTTTCTCCTCCAGGACAGCGTCGGGGGCACACACCCAGGGATCACCCGTGTCCCACTGCCACTTCAGGAGCTGCGCGCGAAGCAGCTGGAAGACGGCGGCGTAGCGGGGGTCGGGGGCCAGGTTCTGGCTCTCGGTGGGGTCGCGGCTGCAGTCGAAGAGCTCCCAGCGGTCCCTGTAGTAGTACTGGTGCAGGGTCTTGTTCCAGTGCGTTGCCTGCCCAGCCCTGGTGCGGTTGAGCAGGTCTTGGAAAGTCGGTGAGACATAGAAGTCCTGGTCGATGGGAAAGGGCATCTTGTAGTTGAGGTTGTGAATGAGGTGGAACTGTTGGTGCTGGATGGCTCGCATGGGGTAGTACATGGTCACCTCGTGGTGGCTCTGGCTGCTGAAGGCGGTGGCCCAGGGCTGCTCCGACTCCAGCGCTGGCAGGAGAGACTTTCCGGTGAGCTGTACTTGCTTGGTGCCAAAGATGCTGTACGAAGGGTAGGGGATGGAGAACCAGTCCAAAATGGTTGGTGTCAGATCTGGAGGGGACGAGAAGAGTGAGAGCAGGGCCTGGCACCCATGGGAGCAAACTCAACCCCCAAGAGGGGCAGAAAGGTCCCTGGGGTCTGCTGCCCCATGGGCTCCAGGTGGTTCTGGGATGAGCAGCAGAGCTGAGCCTGGGATAACGTCCCTGTAGGGGACCCTGCTGCTCCGTCATCCCTCCCCTCCCTTCCCAGGGCTGGCCATGCCAATGCCAAGGGCTGCAGGCTGTCCTCCAGGAGAGGACCTTGGATTTTGGCATGAGGAGGGTGGGGATCTGCTCACACCCCTGTGGCACAGCTCTTCATGCCACTGCTCCCTCCTGGGGGGCACGGGCTCTTACCCAGGAGGGTGGCGAAGGCCTGGCTGACCTGCCCCCAGCGCTTGGTGTGCTCGGGGGAGGAGATCAGCAGGGGCTCGGCGGTGCCTGACCGGTAGAGGTTGGTTCTGCCGCTGGGGAAGGGGATGCCGTTGTCGGAGGTGTAGATCACCAGTGTGCTGTTGTGGAAGCCGGCACGGCGCAGCTCCTCCAGGACCAGCCCGATCCCTGTGGATGGAGGGGCAGAGCTGAGGTGGGGCGGGAGGGATCGCAGCACTCACCGGTGCCAGCCTGGCCCCTGCGGCTCCTATTGGGTCCGTCCGCCCGATGGTTGTGTACTGGGCTGCCAGGTCTGCCCGGGCAGCCGGCGTGTCTGGAACAAAGTGGGGGACCTAAATGGAGAAAGGGAAAGTGGCACGTGGCAGCTACGGGGAAGGAGGTCGTGGGTACGCTGGGGTGGCCTTTGCCAGCTCTCGCCCATAACGCTGACGGCAGTGAGCGAGGTGAGGGCCAGCCTGTAGCCGGCCTGGCTCCGGTACTGGGCTGCCAGGTCTGCCCGGGCAGCCGGCGTGTCTGGAACAAAGTGGGGGACCTAAATGGAGAAAGGGAAAGTGGCACGTGGCAGCTACGGGGAAGGAGGTCGTGGGTACGCTGGGGTGGCCTTTGCCAGCTCTCGCCCATAACGCTGACGGCAGTGAGCGAGGTGAGGGCCAGCCTGTAGCCGGCCTGGCTCCGGCGGAGGCTCCTGTCACATGCAGCCCCACGCAGCCCCACAGGCTCCCACCTGCACTTGCTCTGGGTGGTAGAGCTGTGGCTTCCAGTCTGGGATCCAGCCCATGCCGCTCTCTCCGTTGCCGAATTTCTCACAAAAGGCCCCGTATTGGGGCTGAGAGTGCCCGCAGCGGTGGGGGTCATGGAAGGCAACGTAGAGGAAGAAAGGCCTAGAAGTGGAGAGGGTGGAGGTGGAGTAGCAAAGGGCTGCCCACATCCCCTGAGACCAACTCCGGGCTATGCAGCGGTGAGCTGGGGTTGACAGGAGCATGTCCACCTAATCTGGGCTTTTGGATATGTGGTGACCCAGAGACAAGGTGTCCCTTCCTGTTTGTGACCAGCTGAGACATGGAGACACGTCTTCAGCGAGGCTGGTTTCCCTCTCCTCCCCCTTGCAGCCTGCCCCAGGGATGCAGGGTCCATCTCACCTCTCGTCCTGGCTCTGCAGGAACTGCCGGACGAGCGCTTTGATTCGAGTGATGTTTCTCCCAACCTGCAAGACCGAACTGTTCTCCTCAGTGTAGGCAAAGTCGAAGGGGTAGACAGCCTCGGGCCCAACATGCTTCTTCCCAATTATCCCTGCAAGAACACAGACACGCGTGCCAGGAGCAGTGGGGAGCGGGGGTAGGAGCCGGCTGCTGCTGCTGTCTCCTCCCTGGGGGCTTGATGCAGCTCATCTGCTCCAGCATGGGCTGCGCTCAGCAAATGCTGCTGAGCATGGAAGATGCTGCCGGCTTCTCCAGTCTGTTTTTGCCGGTTGCAGAGGCACTTCCACATCTGCTTAGAAAACGGGACCTACCTGGGGCCTGCGCTGCCCCAGGTCCCAGGTGTGGGTAAGCACTAGAGCAGCTGCGCGGCCCGGGTGGAAGTTTGGGTCAAGGACAAGCCTTGTGTGAACCTGGGAACCAGGAAGGAGAGGGATGAGGAACCGAAGTGGAAGTGAGGTGTAAGGAGGGTGGCTGGGGCGCGGCGGTGGGAGGACGCAAAGTGAAACCCAGGGGTCAGCACCGCGCATGGGCACGGGTCCGTGCGCTCCAGCTCGCAGGCAGGTTAGCTGTCAAGCTCCT